GGGCCGGGGGGCCTAGGGCCGGGGGGCAGCTCGGGGTAGGGGGCGGCGCCCTGGAGCCCTGAGTCACCAGCCCACATCTGCCCCGCAGCCCCTGCTCCTCCCCACGGACGGCGGCTGCAGCGCAGGGCCCCAGCAGCGCCCCCTGTCCCCCAGCAGCCTGCTGGACACCACCATCAGCGAGGAGGCCCGGCAGGGCCCAGGCCTGGACGAGGAGCCGGAGGAGCCCTTGCCCGGCTGCACCGGCCGGAGACACACCCTGGCCGAGGTGTCCGCCTGCTGCGCCCCGCACGCCCCTCCCTGTGAGTGTCCCTGCTCGGCCGGGGGCAGGGCCCCCCAGGCCGCCGCGTCGGGTCTGAGCCCACCCTGGTGGCCGCCACAGTCCGGGCTCCCTGGCCCGTGGCCTGCGGCTGTCCCCGCCGCCCAGGGTCGGGGTAGACGGGGAGGAAGGGAGACGCCCCAGGGCCGGGCAGCGTGGACGCCCCACGCTCCGGTGGAGGACTTGGCGCCAGGCCGGCGGGGCTGCGCCTGCTGGACGCCCGGCGCCCCGTGACCGCCCGGCCCCCGCAGGCATCGTCGTGTCCTCCGCAGCCGGCCCCTCCGAGGGCACCAGCTCCGACAGCTGCCTCACCTTCTCGGCCGCCGGCGGCCCCTCCGCGCTCAGCAGATGCCTGGCTGCCCACGGGCCGGTGGGCACCTGCCGCCCGCTCAGACTGGCCTCGCCACTCCTGGGGGCCCAGTCTGCCACCCCGGTGCTGCAGGCCCAGGGGAGCCTGGGCATGGCCACCCTGCTCCCCGTCAGCTTCCAGGAAGGACGCAGGGCGTCGGACACCTCACTCACGCAAGGTGACCGCCCCGTGCCGTCCGGAAGGGCAGGGCCCGGGGTTCCCGCGCTGGCCGGGGCAGCTGCCCTGGCCGGTGCTCCCAGCTGGGCGGCGCCTGGCCCCTGGGCGGCAGGGCTCGAGTGCCCTGAGCTGGCCGCCCTGGGGCCGGCGGCCGCGCCGAGAGGACAGGGCCGGGCGGGCCCCTTGGCGCGAGCAGGGAGGTGGGGACCGCCCAGCTCAGGGCAGCCCAGGTCCCCCGGCCCGGCTCATCCTGGCTCTGCCCCCCAGGCCTGACCTTCCGGCAGCAGCTGAGGAAGGACGCCCGGGCCAAGGGGCTCCTGGGGCTGAACAAGATCC